CCATTTCTCTGGCTGAGACTCTGCCTGGCACAGCTGCTCAGTTCAGCTGCACAGCACATGACAGACCAAATGGTACCAACCAAAGAATCATTTAGGTTAATAAGTGTTTTGCTTTTTTTCCCCTTTTTAACCTTCTACAGTGAACCAAAACGGCATTTGTGCTCTTTAGTGCTTTATTAAGAGCCAGACAAAGGACTTGGAACTTTGCTCTCCAGAGGATTTGGGGGGTTGCAGTGTTACAGGCATTACTTATAGGGAGAGCTTGGTTTCAGCTCAGTGTGAGGGTCTGCTCTGTGCAACATGTAAGAGAAGAAAGGGGGAGTCTGTGTCTGGACACTGGACACTTCTCCCATGGCACTTGTAAGCTGGGCCTGGTTTTTCTTACAGTAAGAAGAAAAATGGCTCCAACATCAGCTTTTTCTTTTTCTCTTGTTTTGTGCAGAGGTAGCAACTCCTGTAAATGGTTTCCCAGCAGGGCAGGTTCTTGTGTTTCTATACTTTGTTATTACCATTTATAAGAAAAAAAAAAAAACATAATGGGGCAGAGGGAGAAGGCAAACCAGATATTCAGAAAGTATCCACCATGTGCAAAAAGTAATCCCTCATCTCCTCCCTTGCTGTAGGGACAAGAATCTTTGTATATGGGGTACTTAGAATTACCAGCTGTTAGAAAGGCAGCAGAGAGACACTTGAAACACATGAATGTTCTGCAGAATCCCAGCTCTTCTGCAGATTCCAGCCTGACTTCAAACCCTGTGGGATGACACGAGAGCTAATGCCCTTAGCATAAATGAAATATCTATTCAGCCATGTAGCCATCCAGCAGTTTTTATTTCATGCCCTTCACTGCATGTAGTGTGTGATCACATTTAAAATACAGCAAGAATATATATGTCTGGATATAAAACAAACAGTTTTACTTCCCTCCATGCACAGCAAGATGGTTTTATTGTTATGTATTATATATAATATTATATATAATGAAAACTGCAGTGAAACTCTGCAATTGAAAAGCAACACCTGAAGTGCAGGTGAAACTGTGAGTAATAAGTTGCTGGAGTTCCTGGAGAGCAGCAGGCTCCTGGAAACTCTACCTAACAGTTTTCCACTAAGCCAATACGACATCCAAAGGTTCTGGGTTTAAGAGGGGAGGGATCTATTTTGTGCTGCTGTGAAGAGTATTAAGAGACTTGGGATGTCTTTAGAAACTGGAACCTAATCAATATTAATATTAAAATTCCAGCTTCCCAAAATCTCGGGGAATGCAACCCTGCTGTGCTCTGTGGTGCATCACACAGACGTGCAAGGCTTGAAGCTGCAGCCAAAATTCTCAGAAATTCAGTGAAACACAAGCTGAGAATTAGAATAGGGTTTAGTTTTGCTGCATTGAAAGGTCATGCTAAATGCAAACATGTCTCTGGAGACAATTTCTTCTGTGTTATAGACTGATAAGCAAAGACAACATCAGAATAATTAAATCCAACTTCTTTTAAAAGAGATTCAGCATAAACTGGCTAAGGACTCATTTTCACTTGTTCGTTCCTGGAAGATCAAGTAACTGCTCTACACACTTCTAAATAAACTGGCATTACTCAGCCATAACACATCTATTCATACCTTCTTCAATTTTCCCTCTTCAGAGGGACAGCAAGAGATAAAAGCACCATTTACACTTCAGAATTACAGATTAGGTCTAAGTGGAAGTTATATTTGCATGTCCTTCACTGATCATCCACTTGGGAATTAATTTTACTCTTTGTGAGTGAGAATGCAAGTGCTCTCATGCTTTTCAAACATTACTATCACTTTTCTTTCTTTTTTTTCCCCCTCAGGGAAGTTTCACATTCAACTTCTTCTCTATTCTGAAATATTTAACGTGAATCCCTGCAAAGACCCCTGACAAACACACTGCTCTTTAAGCAGCCACAGAATCTCAACCTATCTTGAATGCTGCCATGGTTTCAAGTACAGTCTGGCAGCACACAAGTGTCAGTGTCCTGCCACGTTTTCAGTATGTAAATCTGATATCAGCCTCTCTCCCACCTTCATGTTTGTATTTCCTGGTTGCCCTGCATTGTATTTCATGCATTTAACAATTGCTTCATCTGAAATATTTCTGGTGAAATGGAAACAAACCCCGTGCCCCTTCCTCCTCTATTTCTGCCGCTCATTAACCCAAGGTGATTTAGGACGTCCTTGAGCCTTACAGCAACTGAAATTTATTTTGGGAGCCGTGTGCTTATGGACACGTGGAAGAGGTTATTTATTCCAAAGAGCCATCCAGCAATGATGATGTCATAGGAGCCAGCAAAATACCATATCAACCCCGTTGGGTTGCTCCCAAATCACTGCCTGTAGTTTCCTATGTGTGGTGGCACCTGCTGATATACAGGGTGCCCCTCTATAATTGGCATATGTACTGCTTATTTTTCTGATAAATACTTCAAATTAGCTTTTGTCCTCTTACTTTTGGCCTTCTTGAAACCCCTGTTGGCAAACTTTGGCAGTTTCATTTGCAACAGGCACAGGTCTCTTGTAAACAAGTTCCATCTCAGTCCAAAGTGAAATGCAGTTCAGCCATGGCAGGCTGAGCTCACAGGCAGCTCTTTGACTGCTTCCTTTGCACATACAACAACAGATGACAGATTTGTGAATAAAGTGATCTATAATGAGGATATTTTCCTACAGAATCCTATGCAGATGTAGTTGAGTTTGAAGAAACTCTGCTTCAGGTAGCTCACATGACTGAGGCCTTCTTCAGAGCTGTTTCTAAAATTCATGGCAGAAAGGAATCCCAACAGGTCGCCTAAGCCATCACCTTCTGCAGGATAGCTACATTTGTTCCTCAGGGGGGAGTTAAGGATTGGCATAGGATGCTTTTTATGGGCTGAAATACAGGTTTCCTATGCAATCTTTGGGATATTAATAGCACAGCACAAGCAAAGCAGTGTAACCCCTCTGCTTCTCATATGGGCACTGAGGAGCTTAAAGACTGCTGATAAAATGCTGTAGGGCCATGCATTGCTGGACTGAAATGCATATAAAGGGGTCTGAAGTGTTTTTGGTTTTTTTTTTTTTAATGGTTTGACTCTCTCAGCACCTGATTCAGTGGGACTCGAGTGTCTAAGGGAAGATTCTGTCTGAGTACTGAATTAGGCTCTTTATATTACTGAGCTATTTGTAAGCGGACTGTGACATTCTGAAATTTCAAATTATGCATTATTACTTGCAAATGTTGCTGTGCAATATCCCTCCTTGCCAAGAGCTCATAACCAGGCTGCTGTGAATATCCCACCTGCACATTCCCCCAAGGTGGGCCGGTTACAGGACTCAGGTGATGTGAATACCTTACGCTCACTGGTGGCTGAACAGCACATTCCAAGTGTGTTACAAAGAACTGCTCTTTCAGTGTGTGCTTTCTGCAAATATTCAGATATTAAATTCTCCCTCTGCAGGTACAGTGCTACATTCCCTTCAGAATGCCTACAGAGTATCCTGCTGTGATTAAGTCCATAACTCTTTCAAAATTCGAGGGTGTGTTCATAGAAATATTACTCAACACTTGGCTGGAATAAGTACAGGAGTGGGATTGTCTGCTAGAGAGGTGGTCAGAATATTATTGGGACATAATGGGAGTAATAGGTGGGAAAGAGTTATTTGCTACCTGGGAGCTTGGGGAGGAAAGAAAATAAGTGTAAAGAGGGACCACTTTCAGTGTAAGGGTGATTAGGTCCTTTGGTGGTGTTGTCTCAACAAGTCCAATCTGCACTGAGTGAGGACCCACACACCTTTGACACCTTTCCTGCATGATGTCCTGAAGCCAGAAGTGGTCCCACTGGCCTTGATGCAATTCTATTTGAATTTACACCAAACTTTCCTCTATATCTCTTTCACCAGGATACTGCAGGCAGTCACTGGTATCAGTCACTTGCTCTAAGCACATGGTCTTTCCCACACATTTTTTTTGGAAGCTCTTCTTTTTCCCCCCCCCCCACAAAATGCATTGTTTCCTACCAGTTCCTCTTCTCCATTCCCTTACCTCCAAGCCAACAAAGGAGATCATATCCCACATAATAGGGCAACGTCATCTCTAGGGAAGAATTTGGCTCTTGTGTCCCTCTCCTCCTTCTTTAATTCTTCTATTTATATCTTTTCCCTATGCCAATTCCTCATCTGTTACTCCTTTGCTCTCGTTCACTTTTTATTCCCTTCATGGATCAGAACCTTTCCTATATCTGCTACAGGCTCCTTAAGGCATCCCTGTATGGTTAAAGGGTCCTATTAACAACAGAGATTGTTTGTATGACCTAATTAGATTTCCACAGAGACAGCCTTAATAGGCCCTCTTGGTTTTTTGGATTGTCTGCAAAGTAATAGTGCAATGGCAGCGTTCATTTTGCTTGGCTGTATCAGGCCATATATCACATCCTTTTCCTTCCAGTCCTTCAAGTAAGCTTGTCTCATTCTTATTTTGGTTTCAAATTATAGATTATAAATTTCACTTCTCTCCACTTTTTCCCTATAATTTGACCCCCAGCTGTTGAAACTGCTCCGAGTGATTCCCCCTGCCCACCAGCCAGCCCACGGTTTCATATGAAAGACAGCCCTGGCTTTAGGAAGGAATGACGTCCCTCGGACCAGCTGTGTCTAATAAAAATCCAACCTCCAACTCTCACTCCCCTTCCTCAAAAGGATAAAATTGATTTGAAAGTGCTGATGATAAGATACATGGGAATACAAAATCTCCTTCAGTCAACAGACCAAAGCTGTGCACTGTGACATCATTGTATCCAAAAAGGAACGATGCTGTCAGTTCCTCCACTGCCCTATAACTAGAAGTTATTACACTTGTCCTATAGAAGGGATATTTGTTCATTTAATTTAGCCTTGTTTAGTCTGGCAAGAGCTATTTTCATTCCTGAAGTGCCACAGAACACTAGAAAATACCAGTTCCCCTCTAGGGTCCACTAGAATCAATCCTTGTTGTGAAAAACACTTACTCGTACTGGATGGGCACTTGGAACAGTTTTCCTGTCGTGCTGCAGGATGCCTAACCCGGGAAAACGAGGTGGCTTTCTGCTGGAAAAGAGCCTGAAGCACCTGCTGTACACACAGATGGGGCTGGGAGGTGGCACGAGCCTACAGGACTCACTCTCACCTGCTGCATGTCCCGGCAGGTACAGGCAGGGCTGCCTGCAGTGGGTGTGTGACAGACACAGCCGTGCCAGGGCAGATCTCGTACCACTCCATTGCCAGGGCAACCTGCAAAGAGAGCAGAGATGATCTGCAGGGCTGAATATTCCAAAAATCTGCTGTTTCCCTGTCTTTTCCTCCCATCAGCCAGAGCAGGGTATTTCTGTATTACTGCTGCAGGCAAAAACAATGTCTTGATTTTCTTTTCCCTGTTTTCCACTGGAGATTTATTCTGTTCAGCACCTCTAAACTTCTTTAAAAATGTGCAGCTCTCTTTCTCTTCACCCTTTTCTGTGCTCTGCTTTGATAGTTTGGGATATTTCTGTAAACCTGTTTGATTGAGAACATTTAATGGAACTCTGATACATAACATTATTGTAATGAGGTTTCTGTTATATCTGGGTCTCAGTCACTTTAGAGATGGCACTCTGGTTTTTAGTTCCATTTCATCCTTTGGTTCTCAAATAAAACCAGCAGACACAGGACAGCTCCAAATGATCTCAGAAGAACAGTCTGGAATGCTTTTTTAAAGTTCAGAAGAGGTTTCTTGTTTTAGCTATAGAATGAGGAGATTTAAATGCAAATTTAAGGCCTTTGTTTCAACCACAGAGGGTGAAAATTTTGATGACTGAAAGAAAGAAATATATCAATGCTGTATTCAAATTTTGAATGAAGGTTGCTCTTGCCCACTCCCACGCCTGATTCTGCAGGTGTGACCCTTCTCCATCACTGAAAACAGTTTAATTCCAATGAATTCAGTGGGAGTCAAGGTTACCTATCACCTTCCAGAAAGTTCTAAAGATCTTCTAGAAGTGAAGTCTTGCTTATACACAGGTGTGAGCAGTCTAGGCTGCATAAGATAAATCCTATTATTTGTAGTCAGCATTGAAAATCTGCAGAAATTTCTAACTTCTGTAGATATCTGGGCAGCTGCAAAAACAGATACATTGACAAAACAATTTGCTGCCTCCAGTTCTCCATCTCTCTCCCTCTGATTGCCTCAGAAAACCCCCTCTTTTTTATTGCACAAGGGGTGAAATCAACCTCCTGGTTCTGTTTGGGAATTTTGTCCAACCCAAACAGTGAACTCGCAACTGAAGAGGTTTCAGAACTCAGCCTCTCTGCTTTATGGTAGCACACGACAGATTTGGTTTAGCAAAGTGCAATGATTTGATATTATGATATATGATATTATGATGCAGAAAATGAACATGAAAACGTGTACTTTGCAACAGATCCTTCCACAGGTGGAATCCTGGGGTTAAATATATATATAAATATATATAATTACCACAGCAAAACAATCACATTCCAGCTGATTCTGCTGCTGCAGAGAGGCTGCTCTTTGGGCCCTTATAAGGATTTTTGATGAAGTTGAGCTCAGTTCGTATGTAACTGGCTCATTTCCAAAATATTTGCAAGTACTGATACCTGGTTTTTGAGGTCCAGAAGGTTACATTTGCCTTGCATGCTAATATCCTATTTCAGGTATCTCAGCTGTTTCCAAAGGCAGCTACTTTGTATTCCTGTCTCCCTCCAAAACTTCCCACAGAAGTCTCTTTTTATAACCCTCTCTGTTCTGCATCAACTCACCCCGACCAGCAGTTAGAACACTAAACTTGGTACCAACTGGCTTTCAAACAGTTTATTTAAAAACCAGGTAGGGATTTCATGTTTCAAACATCAGAAAAACAAACAAGCAGAAAATATTCTACCCCAAAATATCCTAACTAAACCCCTCGGTTCAGTGATGCCCACCCTGCCAGCCATTAGCTCATTATAGCACAACAACATATTTAAAGATTTTTGTAATTACTCAAAGGAGAGTCTACAAACGTATTAAGGATTTTTGTAATTACTTAAAGGAGAAACCTTCTGATGATCACGCACTGCAACACCCAGTAGTGCAGTATCACTGATCAATGGCAGTAATTTGATTAAATAAAGAGTTTACAGTGAGACACAGCAGAATAAACTTTGGAACAATGAGAATCCCTGGGAGAAGTAATCTAAGATTTTCTGTAAACACTGATTTTAGTCCTATGAAATTATTTTACAAGGAATCATCTTGATTCTTTTTATGCTCCTGAGTTTTTGTCTTTATTATCTGAATGCTTAAGCCTTGCTCTTGCCAGCATGAACCAGGAGATCAGAAGAAAGGGCACTCAAGCCCTCACAAGGGGAAGAGAAACCAGGCCATTTTCTGCCTACTTCATGGTGACAAATTCATTTAATTAGTCCAATTTATTTTATTTGACACAATAAGTCAATTTTTTTTTTTTGACACAATAAGCCACGAGTGAGTTAAACAGAGTGCCACGAAGCTGGGTTTGGGAAATGATTGTCACCCTCATGTCCTCCCTGAGGATAGTCCCACATTCTCCTTTTCCAGGGTCCCAGTGCTGTCAGTCAGCAATCCCACCTGGGATTTTCCATGTGTTATACTACATAACCCCCTAAACAACCCCCCTTTTCTTTGAAAAGAACACACAAATGTGCAGCTTATCTTAAATAAGCCTTGCAGTATGGAAACCATGAGGTGTACAGACTGGCTTTTCTTAAGCAGAGGACAGGTACTGCGAAATAGTGGAGTAAATCATCGGTCTTTTTATATTAATTGGATTATTTGGGAAGTCTCCTTGAACAAACACGTAAGGCTTTCAGAGCAGGGTCCACAATATCGTCGTGGAAGTGCCCAAGGGCAGGTTGGATAAACTTGGAGCAACCCGGTCTAGTGGAAGGTGTCCCTGCCCACAGAGGGTGGGTGGAATGAGACGGTCTCTGAGGGCCCTTCCAACACAAACCATTCCATGATTCTCTATGATGCCACGGGGGATACTCCCCTCAACCCTGCCCGTGGTGTCCCTGGCGCTGGAACGCGCTCCTGGGGGACAGAGGTGACAAGTTACCTGCTGGGGTGGCGGCGGACGCGGAGCTCGGAGCGGGGTCCCCCTGAGGCGCGGAGGGGCACGAGGCTCGGGGGTGGTGAGGCGGCCGCAGGGAGGTGCCCTGAGGGGCGGAGGGGTACGAGGGGCGGTGACGCGGCCCCGGGGCGGTGCGTGAGGGCGGAGGGGTTACTGCGGGCACGGCTCCGCAAAATCCCTGGATAATCAGCACGGGAAGGGACCCTCAGCCCAGCCCGCTGCCCAGGCAGGCGCAGGTGACACAGGGATGTGTCCAGCTGGGTTTGGGATGTCTCCGCAGAGGGAGAATCCACGCCTTCCCTGCATGGCCTGTTCCAGAGCTCTGCTGCCCTCAAAGAAGTTCTTCCTCGTGTCGAGGTGAAGCTTCTGGTGTTCTAGTTTATGGCCTTTTGTGTGTGTATTGGCTGCGAGGTGTGTTACAAATGCACCTGTAACTTCACAAACACTCTGAAAGTCGCTTTGAAGTGATTTGCGTTACAAGTGACATTGAAGCTCTTGGTTGTGCCCTCTCAGAATCAAAATGCAGTTTAATGCTCGTTTCAGTGAAAAGCCTGAAGACTTGATGTGGCACTTAGTGCCATGGTCTAGTAACCATAGCAGTAGTGGATCAAGGGTTGGACTTGACGATCTCAGAGGTCCTCTCCAACCCTGCTGATTCTACGATTCCATGGCTTGGTTGTCTCCCAAAGCCTGCATTTCCAACATTATGTTTGTTTTTGCTTACAAAGGTGGACAGCGTTCCTCAAAATGCTGTTTTTCTAGTTCAGCAGGTCCATACCTTTCAGGCCACGTGTTTTTCTCCCTGATTCCCACCGTGTCCTCTGCATCCTGGGATAAAATTGCTCCAGAGCCTTTGGTGGCTCATGTGGGCTTTGCTCAGTAAGGCAGGACTGGCTTCTCCAGGAAACCTGTGAATATGCACAGTCATAAATATGTTCTTAGTACAGTTGTTTAGTAATAACTTCATTGTTGTTATTGTTGTTGTTTAGTGATAACCCCGGTAGGGTTGTACAGTGACAGGGCAAAGCTCCAAGGGGCTCAGTGTCTGTGAGACCTGGGCTAAAAATGAATATTTTCCACAATGAAACATTAAACAGAGGAAAAGCAGGGTAGTGATGAGAAGCTGGAGGGGTTGGGCAAGCCAGGTGTGACCCAACAAATTTATTTATAGGAGAATTGTTTCACATAACCTTTTTGGCACTTGTTTCACATAACCTTTTTGAATCTTACTTGAAGTAACATCATTCCTTATATCTTAATTACCTGTCATTTCTACTGTAAATGAAGTTTTGGGGGGTGATTATGCACTAACTACAAGGGATTTGTTTCTATAAATACCCTGATAGAAGACTCATTGTTACAATTCCAAGTGGAGCCACAGCTTCTGTTTTAACAGAACCATTTGTCAATATAGTTTCTAAGGATTTACTCATCCCTGAGGTAAACTGGAAGCAAATTGACTGGTGTTTTGGTTTTTTGGGGGGATCTTTTTTGTTTGTTTGGGTTTTTTTTACCCATTTTTAATGCATCTATATTAGGGTTGCAGGGGTAACTGTCTCCACACCTGGCCAACACCAATGCTCTCATGCAACCTCTAAGTGTAGGCAAGGTCTTAGTCCTCCATCCTAAATTTTCACTGTGTACCTGTGCCAGTTATGAAATTAGTCAAAACACATTGTTCTGGAGAGCTGAATGGACCTCCTTTCGATGGAAATGGGAATTTTGGACCGATTTGTTTGACAGCACAATTTCTAATTGCAAAGTGTAGTGAGAAATTTTTTAAGGAAGGAGGAGAAAACGTTTAAAGCTGAAAGCTCATGTTTCTTGTGGTTTCCCAAACAGTTGTGGCTTCATTATCAGCTGTTTGTTAGTCAAAGAGAGTTGTTAAAAAAGAAAACAAAACTTCTTTGTGGGAATTGTTGCTCTTTTGCTTTAACATTTGGAAAATATTCCTCGATATTATATTGAGAAATGTTATATTTCTTCAGTGTTGATAAGTTGTTTGAATTTAGAGGATCCAGATATGTCAACTGAAATCCATTCAGATCCTGAGCCAGACATAGATGCAATATGTCAGTTGCTTTAAAAAGAGGTTTAAAGATAGTGTAAGTGGGCTTTCCTCTAACTAATATTCCTA